ATNTATATATATATATATATATATATATATATATATATATGACGATATATATATATATACTCCCTAATTGAACGAGGGCTCCACCCACTCAATGAGACAATTGCACAACAGCAAGCAAAAGCAAAATACTAAAAAAATTCTATCCAGTGGACCTACGGCCTATCCCACCCTCTTTTGGGATTTTGGCAATACCCCCAACGGATTGAAAGGATAAAAACAAAAAATTGACAGGATTTTGGCAAGAAGCTTCCTTTGGACGGGCATGCCCAGTGAGTGTTAAGGAGAGGAGGGGGGGAACAAAGATCTCCTTACTTTTTTGGGTTTGGGATTGGCCATACCCCCAACGGACGGAAAGGATTTTGGCGGGAAGCTTCCTTTGCACGGGCAAAGGAACAAAGATCTCCTTACTTTTTTGGGGTAATACATGTAAAATAGTAAAAATACGGCCTCATGTTTCATGATAATGGATTCCTTACCTTTTTCCCAAAGAAAAAAAAGACAAAAAAAAAACAATCCTTACCTTTTTCCCAAAGAAAAAAAAGACAAAAAAAAAACAAACGTAAAAATACTGACCATGGGATCACGAGTACTGCACGGCAGGATTTGCATCACTCAACTGCCAAACAAACTCTTTTCTATCTTATCCCCTTGCTAGTGGGACCATGCCCCAGAGATCAGATACTACACATGATCTTCGCCAAAAGGCCGATAAAGGTAGTGCACGTATTCATTTCCATTTTTTTTTCTGTTTCTTTTCTTTTCTTTTCCTTTTTTTCCTCCCAGTTTTTTGGACCATTTCACGTTGTTTCTTGAACAGGGGACACGGGGCCGAGTCCCACTCAACCGAATCCTCAATTTCTGACCGTTCTGATCGTAGATTCCAAAGATCAACGCTCAGAAATGAAGAATCGGCTTATGTGGGACTTGTCCGTCGTAAGTGGGACTCATCCCACCCACAGGGCCAAGTCCCACTTAACCACATCCTCAAGATTCCAAAGATCAACGTTCCAGAAATGAAGAATCCGCATAAGTGGGACTCGTCCCACCCACAGTAATCTTCTCTACAGTTTCAATTCTAACGGATGTCCGTCAGCACATATTGCGTCGACATCTAGGCTACCAGACTCGCCTGGGACCACTTGCACTGCCGAACCAACAAAAAAAAAAAAAAAAAAAAAAAAAAGTTTGATTTTGTAATTTAAATCGGGTAAAAAATTTCGAAGCGATGCGACCCTGAGGCAAAAGTTGTTCAGTTTTTTTTTTTGGATTTATGCGTGTCATCCTTACTTGCGCAGGGGCCATGCAATCTTCTCTGTATCGTTCCAATTTTAATGGATGTCCCGAAGGACTTCAGTTTATTTTGCTGCATAACATAGTTTGTTTTCGGATATTTTGGCTAGGACCTTACCTGGTCCTTGCATGGCCAGGCCGCCTGGGAAAATAGGGTGACCCGGGCGGGCCCGCCTGGGAACATACTGAATATTGATTATTGATGAACATAAATGGCGCATGCACTCACCAAAGGGCGACCAGCCATTGAACCTGTGACTCCTGAACATGCGCCCATGTTTGACGGAAAGCAACACAATCACCTCTCTACCGTCTTCCGCCGAGCATTACGCACCCCGACAATGAATGCATACAAGCTACATTTCGTGTCAGGTACATTAGCCATAATGAGGGTACAACGTGTTGGGCGAAGAAGGTAGTGTGCCACCCCTCAACCAAGGTCACTTTCAAAAAAAAAAAAAAAAAAAAAAAAAAAAAAAAAAAAAAAAAAAATTCACTTTCAATCTTCTTCCCAATGATGCCTGTCTGTTGAAACAGGGCACTGTTAAAAAAAAAAACCAAAAAAAAACAACAAAACCGCACACATTCACTTCCAATCTTCTTCCCAATGATGCCTGTCTGTTGAAACAGGGCACTGCTCTCCTCTACCTTGTTCCTCAGAGGCTCAGACCTTGTTCCACAGAAGAAGCTAAGACTGCTAAGTCCATGTATGTGACGAACAGCTGAGACGCCAAGTACTTCCTCCTTTTTTTTTTTTTTTTTTTAAGGTGCCCAGTAGTTACTATTATTGTACTTTTTAGTTATTAACAAGTTGGTTTTTTTTTTTTAAGGTGCCAAGTAGTTATTAACAAGTAGCAGCTCCACGTGAACTCCCTCAACTAAGCTCTGAACGTGATCGAAGCCAGATTCATCCAGGTCTGGTCGTAATTGCAGTCAGGTTCATCAACAAAAGCCCTCAGGCTGGTGCAAGCATGCCCTGTGGATCCTACTGACAAACTAAAACGTGTTTTGGTTTCTTGCAAATTGCCCTCTACGTAAACTTAAAATATTCTAGGAGTAAAAATAAAAATAAAAATAAAATAATAATAATAATAATAATAATAAATTCTAGGAGTTGTCCTTTGGGACATCCGTTAAAATTGGAACGATACAGAGAAAGAAGATTAGCATGGCCCCTGCGCAAGGATGACACGCATAAATGGAGAAATGGTCCAAATTTTAAAAGAAAAAAAAAATAAAAATAAAAAATTCTACGAGTTACAATCCATTATGATATTATCTCATCTAGAAATAAAGATTCTTTCTATCCAGAAAACAATTACGAGCTTCATCCAAAAATCTCTTACAACGTACCCTGACAACGAATGTACACAAGCTATCTTTCCAGTCAGGTGCAGCCAAAATGAGACCGTGTTGTGGAAAACATGAGCGAATCCAGCGCTGGATGGAAGACGGTAGCTAAACTTATAAGTCATAACCATTTGCAGACCTCGCGGCTGCAGTCTTACTTGCACATTATACTTGTATCGCAACGTATGCCTCATGTCCGACCGGGGTTACAGTCAGGTTAACTGAGGGTTAAGGAGCTGCAAAACGACTGGTGTATTCCTTTCTCGGCCTTTCGACCAAGTAAGATCAAGTGTAGTATCTGTTCTAATCAGTTTACTATCTGATCTGTGTATTCAAAAAAAAAAAAAAAAAAAAAAAAACACCGACTGGTATACCTAATGTCAGATCGGCATCACAGTCAGGTTAGCTGAGAACGCGAGGAGCTGCAAATTATTTCAACCAGAATTCCATACACGTGCATCCCCCTCAACCACATATTTCATACAGGTGCATCCCCCTCAACCACATATTTCATACAGGTGCATCCCCCTCAACCACATATTACATACAGGTGCATCCCCCTTCTTACACAATTGTGGGTGAAGGTCTCAACCAGAGTCACATACATACAGAGATACAAACACAATCCGTCTGATCATCTCCATCGTCACCCGTTGTGTATCTCTGTGCAATTGCCTAAAACAAAATGAGTCGACGAGAACAACAACTAACTGAATTGCAATAATAGTGGCCTTAAAAAGCTATAGGGAAAATTTGTCTGGCGCCCCTGTATTTTCCATTTATTTGCGTCGCGCCCCTCTGACATACGAATACCCTGCCGCGCCCCTCTGACCAGTAGTGAAATGTTTCATAACCCCCTGGCGTGCAGTGGCGTCGTTTGGGCCTCACATGTTTTCGTAGTGCCCCTACCGGTACCCACAGCGAATTTGTGTCATGCCCCTACCGGATAGCCATTGGGAAAATTTCCGATATGCCCCTACCGGTTCCATCGATCTTTTCTCTGTGTCCCTGTCGCCGTTGGAGGCACTCAGGGGAATTTCCACCCGGCCTGGGAGAGCTACCGGGGCATGACAGAAATTTGTGAGTGTCCCCATGTTTCTGCCATGCCCTTGCTTGCGAGTGTTCCCATGTTTCCACCCCGCCAATCTCCTCAACTCTCACACACACACCGTGACACATTCAAGTGTCGTCTGCCCTCTCTCTCTCTCTCTCTCTCTCTCTCACACACACACACACACACACACACACACACACACGAGCGTTGACGACGAGCGGAAACGAAAAGGGGGGGGGGACACTCACCTTGCGATGGTAGACAGACAGCGAAAATGAAGACGACAGGAGGTTGGCCTTCACGAGCGCGTCAAGAAAAACGGCGGCGGCGCGTCGACACGAACGCTGTTCGAAATTGAATTCAAATTTCCATCGCCAGACTGCTGCAGGGGCATCACAGGAAGACGGGTGCTTCTTACGAGGGCATATGGCACATAGCCAAATGGAATGGGACCGCTGGTTGAGGGAGGGCGTCATGGAAAGTTGCGCCACTACCGACGGGGGCCTGCCAGAAAGATTTTCAGGCCCAGGGGCACGGCAGGGTGGCGCGACACAAATAAATGGAAAATACAGGGGCGCCAGACAAATTTTCCCAAAGCTATAAGCAAAAAAAAAAAAAAAAAAAAAAAAGCTATAAAGAAAGGTAAATTCAAAATAATGAATCATTGAATATATCTTCTTGCCTGTAAATATATTGATACGTCAACATAAATGGCTCCGTTGCACATATGTACACTACATCCCATCCACACCGACTGACTGTTTTGTGGACATATCTTCTTGTCATGAGACATCGAGAGGAAAAGATGGTCAAGCACTTCAATAATACTCACGAGTACACGCATACACATATTCATTCTCACGAGTCGAGAGATCCAATCAAAGTCTATCACAGTTGCGCCCTGTTTTGTGGAATCGATACACAACGCACATCATGCCGATCAGCACACATGCATGCGCCCCCCCCCCCCCCCCCCCCCCCCCCCCCCCTCTGCCACATGCACACACTCAACATATTGATCCCACACAAGCAAACCGAAGGTAATGTAACGGTTGCTGACAAATACTCAGTCCTCTGCGCAGCAGGCAAACACACACACTCACGCACTAGAACTGTTTCATTGACGCACACACACACACACACACACACACTAGAACTGTTTCATTGGCGCACACACACACACACACACACACACACACACACACACACACACACACACACACTAGAACTGTTTCATTGATGCACACACACACACACTCACACACTGGAACTGTTTCATTGATTTTCGTTGACAATGTCTGCAATGGGACTAAAGCTGCTTTGATTTTGGATCTACTCATCTCTGTGGAATAGGAGAGGCGGCTGTTCCGGAGAAAATTCTGCTTTGATTTTGGATCTACTCATCTCTGTGGAATAGGAGAGGCGGCTGTTCCGGAGAAAATTCAACACACACACACACACACACACACACACACACACACACACACACACACACACACACACAGCACACCCACACCCACAGAGACACACACACAGAGAGAGAGAGAGAGAGAGAGAGAGAGAGAGAGAGAGAGAGAGAGAGAGAGAGAGAGAGAGAGAGAGAGAGAGAGNGAGAGGCGGGGAAGACTGGAAGGAATAACAGACAAAAATCAAGAAATACAGAAACATTCAGTCCTAAACAAGTGGTAGCAGCAGTCCTCAACTCAATCTACTGAGTACATCTCCTAAACACAGCAGCCTCAAGGACAACTTACTGTTACTTACACACCCGGTTCAGCTCAATGACATGCACTGTTGCACTGTTGGACAAAAAACCCTGAAGCTACAAAAGAACCGTTGGATGGTGAACTGCTGAACCGCATACTGATCATCACAAACCTAGACTCCGTCGATTGACAATGACCCGATAAGTCGTAGTCTGGGTTTAACTTAGTGAAATACGAGTTAGTTAAGCAGCTCGACAAGTACCTGCACTAACGCGCTCATTGTACGAGGGCAAACACATACTAACTTCAACTTTTCGGGATTGCGTGTGGCTGCAATTACAGCCCGCCGTGGATGCGGTCGTACTGCAGTCGCCGGTCGGATCCAGATCTCAGTCAACGAGTATGCTCTGCGAAGCGAAGCGATCCTTCTCCGGGATTGCGTGAGAGTTGCAATTCAACCACCATGGGACACAGTTCCCTATATCATGTCCTTAGCGGGATGGGCGCAAGTGTCAATCACACTATAAAATTATAAATCAAAATCACTATCTGATTCAGCAGAGTAAATCAAAATCACTATCTGATTCAGCAGAGTAACTTGCCGGAGTCCTCGTACTACCATGTGACTTCGTTCCCTGTTCTAAAAATAGCATGTCCATGTCCTTATCGGGAGATACATAGCCGTACATCAAAATCACACTAAACTCACCATGATCCGGTTCAGCAGAGACAGTGTCACCCCCTATTGTAAAGCTACCATATCGCATTTCATACTACCGGTAGTGTCTGGTCTGCGCTCATACAGTCTCTCGAAGTACTCGTACACAATACACAATCAATGAGCTGACCGAACCATCAGTGGTTTAACGTTTGAACCCTCGTCAATGACATCTGATCACAATAAAACACAGTACACCCCAATCAATGAGCTGACCGAACCGTCAATGGCTTGAACCCTCGTCAATGACATCTGATCTCGATAACCGCGCTGCTCCACACCGATCTTAACACTAACTACACCTACACACCTACACACCTACACACCTACCACCCACATCTTCACAACATGACTCACTCTGTGCCTCCACAATCGTCATCAAACCCAGATAATTAACAACCCAAAAGGGCTCAAAACTTCGTCGATTCCGGATCATATACTCCTATTTAAAGATCATGTTAATCTGCTCCGCCTTCAGAATCTTTGGCAATCGGCAATGTCACCGACCTTCAACGAGAAACCACTCGATGGCACGGACCCAAAACTTCGTTGGGTAGAGACTCGAGAGAGGTCCTACTTCTGAATAAGCGCAACATTCCTCGGATATGTGCTTGTACTACTTCAAACTCCCAACACAGGCATCGGGCTCAGCTTCACACAGCTTCATGTCCAACCCCGTCGGTGGTATCGCACTGACGACTGCCATCAGCTCAACCGTCCTCCGGCATGTCCTTGTACTACTTGAAACTCCACACAGGCATTCAATTGGGCTCTGCTTCGCAGCTTCGTATCCACCAACCCACTGGGTCGTATCGCACCGACGAGTCGACGACCACTGCTCGCTCGATAACACGCACGGACCAGCCGTTGCCCTCACCCTCTACTTTCACCACATTTGCCTTCATGCCAGTGCAATTTGACACCCAGAACTCGTTTAATTAGGGACAACCCGGCTTCCGCTTGTTCGTCCGCCGACGCCGCCTTGGACTTGGAGATGGGCAAGAGATCGATACCGAGAACATCTGCAAGTAGGCACACTTTTCCGAGGAGTCCTCTCGTCGTATCTTCCAACTCCGATGCATTTGGAAACTCTGCGCCAATCAGAATCTTGATTATCTCCACCTCTTCTCGTACCGTCCGTTTTCTACGCCCGAGCTCGCCTCCCTCCTGCACAAATTTGAATACCTCCAGACTGTTAACAGATGGCAAGAAATATATCAAGAAATAAATTCAAATAATAATAACAAATAATGGAAGACAGTCTATTGCTGAACCGACCATGAAATAGACTAGATGCATTGACTCAGAGATGTCAATCCATGCTTGCCATCGATTACTAAGCCCCCCCGGCTCCTGACATCATGACTAAGAAGAACGGCGACCATGTATGTACTTGCTGCCAAGTTCCTGCATAAAATAAGACTGTCACACTCGAACACTGAACGGAGTAGAGCAGAGTAGCACACCAAAAATAACTGAAACAAGAAGAGTGAAAAAGTACCAAAAAAAAAAAAAAAAAAAAAAAAAAAACCTGAGTCACGGACAACGTAGGGCAACAACGCAGAGGAGATAACATCATGATGATTATGATAACACCTCACACCTAATATGGAGCAGAGGGCCAGAGGCACACATATACACATGAGACCCCTGCCTGCCTAATGCTCCATGCTAGCCCTGGCTAGTCTGGCAACATGCACAGCCTGCCATGCAGGCAATAAATTTCCTGCACAGTTTAATTAAGAGACTTCAATACTGACAACAGCAACAAAGAAAAAAAAAAAAAAAAAAAAAAAAAAAAAAAAAAA